AAATCCGGACGGCTGGAGTACTGGACATCTATGATCTCTAAACAGTCATGTTTGTGTTCCTCTGTTTCTGGCAAGAGGGTGGCTGGGTTAAGGGAGGGGCAAGGCTGTAAGGTGACTTCAGAGTTCTCTAACAGCTTAGCCTGATACCGAGCAATCCGAGCCTGGGTGAGCCAAAGCCCTCCCTTTGCATCCAATAAGGCTCGGACCATATGGGGAGTATAGATTTGCATAACCCCTCCCAATGTTAGCTTCTCGGCTTCCTCAAGCACTAGGGTAGTAGCTGCGATCACCCGTAAACATGCCGGCCAACCCTTTGAAACCTGATCCAGGTGCTTAGAAAAATAAGCCACAGGACGTCTCCATGCTCCTAACAGCTGTGTGAGCACTCCTAGGGCCACCCCCTGAAATGGCTTAGAGAGATCCAGCAGGCCCAGAGCCGGGGCTTCCATCAACTTCCTTTTCAAGATTTTAAATGCCCCGTCAGCCTCTGGGGTCCAATAGAAGGGGTCATGATCCGCTCCTTTTACACAGTCACACAGGGGTTTAGCCCACAGTCCAAACTCTGGGATCCATATCCTGTAAAAGCCTGCCATACCCAGAAATGCCCTGAGCCGCTTACGATTACTTGGGGTAGGAACTTGACAGATAGCTTCCTTTCTTTCACTTGAAAGCTGACGCTCCCCTTGCCGTATGTGAAACCCGAGGTACTGTACCTCTGGGAGGGCAATTTGAGCCTTACTCCATGCTACCCGATATCCCCGGAGTCCAGTAAAATTCAGGAGGCTCACGGTGGCTTTAAGGCAGGGGGTTTGGCCCACAGTGGCAATTAACAAATCATCTACATACTGCAGAAGGAGGGCCTCCGCATTATCCCACTCCTCTAGGTCCCTGGCCAGAGCCTGGCCAAAGAGGGTGGGGGAGTTTTTAAATCCCTGGGCCAACACTGTCCAGCAAAGTTGCTTTTTGACCCTTTTTCGGTCCTCCCACTCGAAGGAGAAAATCTCCTGTGACAGGGTGGCAACTGGGATGGTAAAGAAAGCACCTTTCAGATCGAGGACTGAAAAATGGGTATACTGTCCCCCTGTAGAAGCCAATAAGGTATACGGGTTAGGGACAAGAGGGTGCAGAGTCTTAACCCGTTCATTGACTGCGCTTAGGTCCTGTACCAGCCAATAAGTGCCATCAGGCTTCTGTACTGGTAGAATGGGAGTGTTCCAGGCTGACTGACATTCCCGGAGAATACCATACATTAGGAATTGATCTATAGTTTCCTGTAAACCTTCTCTGGCTTCCCTCTTGATTGGATACTGTTTTACTTGCACAGGGCCTTTCCCTGGTATGAGCTGAATAGTAATGGGGGTCTAGTGGGTAGCCTTTCCTGGGATTCCTGATGCCCACACGAGAGGGTACACCTGGTCTTCCCACGGGCTCCATTCTGGGGCTTGCATGGCTGAGGGCTCAACTGCAAGGGTCATGATCCATGCATTCTCAGGGGGTAAGGTAAGAGTTATTTCATCCTCAGTAAAATGCAGGGTGGCACCGAGGCGACAAAGCAGATCCCATCCCAGCAGAGGTGTTGGACTCTCAGGGAGGTATACCAGCTTGTGGGATATAGTTCGGTTTCCCAAAGCGCATTCTGCTGGGGCATACACTGGGCACTTGGTGTCCCTGCCTGTGGCTCCCACCACAGTAAGGGAATCTGCTACTGGCAACTGAAGGGGTCGATTTACAGCAGTTCGTGCCGCTCCAGAGTCCACTAAAAAATCTATTTCTGAGCTTCTCACCCGCATCTTTACTCAGGGTTCCGCGGGTAGGGTGGTCCGTCTCCCCTGACACCCCTATTCCTGCTCCGCCATCGCCATCATAGATGCACCCCCCTTTTCTTCCTCTTTGGGCACTCATTTTTCCAGTGTCCCTCTTGTCAACACAAGGCACACTGGTTGCGACCCAGTTGTCTCTCCTGCGAGCCTGGACGTTCTTGTCCACGGCCCCTTCCTCCCCGGCCACTTCCCTTAGTGCCGGCCTGTACAGCTGTTACCATCAGTCTCACTTGCTTTCTATCCTTCTCTGTCTCTCTCAGACTATAAGCTCGGTTTGCAGTCTCTAAGATTTGTGCCATGGTCATGCCCATTAAATCCTCCTTTTTTTGTAACTTTCTCTTAATATCAGGGGCTGCTCTGCTCATAAAAATTCCCTTAATAATTGACTCAGTTGCCTGATCATCGGGGTCTGCATTAGTGTTCTGTCAAATTGTGTCCCGAATATGCTGTAGAAAGGCCCCTGGGCTTTCTTTTAAATCCTGCATTACTTCATATGGCTTTGCCCAATTATTATGTCGGACAGCCGAGTGACGGAGTCCACGCAAAAGTAACTCCTTATAGGAGGTAAGGCGGGTCATATCCCCATGATCATTTGGATCCCACCTGGGGTCTGCTCGGGGGACTTGTGCATCCGGGTCAGGGACATTAATACGATCCCGGTCATACCGTTTCTGCGCCTCCTCCCTTGCCTTGGACACAACCTGTTGTCTTTCAACCTCAGACAATAGGGTTCGCAGGAGGATGTTACAATCATCCCAGTCCGGCTTGTGACTACTGAGGCACCTCTCAAAGACTGATATAAACCTGCTTGGGTTGGTGGAAAACTCTCCTGCCTGTGCTTTGAAGGCAGCCAAATCCACAGGATTAAAGGGCACATAAGTATAAACCTGTATAGTCGTCGCCGGACGCCTATCCGATCCAGACCGGGCAACTTTAGTTTCGGTGATTAAGGGGTATAGGCCAACCATTGGGGACTTACAAGGTGTGAGTGTAGGGGCCAAAGGGGACACCGGCTCTGCCATTACAGTGGGGGTGGGGGTCTGGGGACTAACATTAGCTGCTACCGAACCAGTCGGAGTCAGATTACAGTGCTGTAAAATATCTGGTCGAGTACATAAAGTCAGAAACAAATGCGCATACATATGTTCATTCCATTTCCTTGTTCTCTGACAGAACAGGAGTAACTGAAGGATCGTGTTGTAATTAATTGACCCTCCTGGTGGCCACCACTTCTGGTCCTCTAGTTGATATTGAGGCCAGTCAACTGTACAGAATCATTTTAATTGGCTCTTAGTCATCGGATCCTCACCAAATACCTTCCAGTTTGCTAGAATGCACTCTAGGGGCGTACACCATGCCCTAATCCCCGAGCTCTGTCTCTGTCCCATACCTACAGGGTAACTCTGGGCATCCCCAGGTTCCAACAGAGCATACAATCCGGATTTCAAAAGGTTCCTACCTTATCCAAGGGACCGGTTCCTCACCGTCGTCCACAGCTGCTTCTCCACTATATGAGTGCGTTGCACCGTTGTGCCCTCCGGGGTCGATCAAATCGCGTCTCCTCTGAGGCCCCCGATGAACTCACCGGTGCGCGCTGGGCGTTGGCTCTCGCCGCAATCCTCGACCTCCAGGAGGGGTCCGGGCAAGGCAAAATAGCAGCCCCGTCACCCACCCAGGGATGCCAAAAGCTGTTGCCGGCACCCAGTGCCGAGAGGCTAAACAACAGCTGGGGCTGGTTCGCTACCCGGTGTGCTACACCCAATAATCACAACGGGGTGGAGAAGCAGAAAAGTTTATTTGCAGCTGCAAAAAGATACAGGGAGAATAAAATCTCAAATCCTGCACCCAGAGCAGGAAGTTACACAGGCTTTTATACATCTTTTTCCCCAGCATACTTATCCAATAGCAAGCTGCCCTAAGTATCCATATAGCCAGCCAATCCAGTTCCCAGCTAGTTCCCTTGTTCTCTGTATCATTTGTTAAACCATACATAAAGCTGCTTTAGTCAGCATCGTTCTTCCATATCTGCCCTGTTCGGCCTTGCTTAGTTTCAGACAGTCTGACTCTGCAACAACATATTGTTGCAGATCCTCAGCATAACTGCTGTGAGTGCCTCCAGGCGGGGGGGAGGGGGGGCAGGGGGAGGGGGAAGGACACTTGGGCCTCCTACTCAGAGCTCCTGTGAGTGCCTCCAGGCGGGGTGGGGTGGGGCCAAGGACATCTGGGCCTAGTGTGAGGGGGCTTCATCGACACTCGTGGTCTTCCATCCCCTCGAGTTACCTAGTGGCCATGCCCCAGTGTCCCCAACACCGGCACAGAGTGCCCGAGGCAAGCAACAGCTGGGTTTGTTGCCCAGTGTGCGTCGCGCCAATGACCACAATGGGGTGGAGAAGCAGAGAAATTTATTTGGAGCTCCAAATAGGGCGCAGGGAGAGTGAGCTGTCTCAAATCCTGCAGCAGTGCAACAGATTCCAGTATACATTTTATACCTTTTCCTACTTCACTACACAAGCTTATGCAACCAATTACCTGTTGCCCCGTACAATACCGTAGCCAATCGGCGAAAGCAGCCAGTTGTGTTTTTTCTCAGCAGCATTGCCCGAGCCTTGCCTTATTTGGTCCTATTTGTTACTAGTTTTTGCTAAACATTTCTGCCTTATCCATCTGTTTCCCAGGCTGAGGCTGGCCTTGGCTGGCGAGCGGTGTGCAAACCTGTCTGTTTGTGCGCTAGCTTCCTCAGTGTTATGCAGGATCACAGAGGGTTCAAGAAGCAAAGGGGCCTTGGTTTATCGGGGCCTAGAGCAGGAAGGCTTCATGGACACTCCTGGTCTTCCACCCTCCCGAGTTACCTAGAATAGTGCCCAGTGTCCCCAACACACCTGTAAAATAGGAGCCGTTCTCTCCCCTCCCCCAGCCCATAAGTCCCTTGCTGAGCGTCAGGGCTGAGGAATACACAGGCACCTAGGTAGAGAGACACAAGTGTGAGCAAGGGCTGGTGGGTGGCGCAGCCCTGGGGCTGTTGCGGCGCTGAGGGGCTTGTGTTGGGTGGGTTTTGTGGGCCACGAGCGGAGCGAGCCAGGCAGGGCCTGCCCCGCCCCCGTGTTTGGCGGGAAATGCTGGCCCGAGGCGGGCCCGGGAGCGTCCAGGTGGCGCTGCCGCCCGCCCCCTCTACGGCGGTGCCAGTGTCCCCCGGACAAGCCCCCCGCCAAGGCACAGCCCGGGCGGGAGGGCGGCTCCCGGGCAGCGAGTCTGTCCTGTGTAGCCGCAGCCTCTCCCCCAGCACAGGGCTCAGCGGACGGGGCGTGAGCCGGCCCCGGGAGGAGGCGGGGGCAGCGGCGGGACCTGCCCTGAGCTGTTCCGAACTTCCCCAAGTCCCGCAGCCGGGAGACGCGGGGAGCAGCATGGCCCGACTCCGCCACGCAGCCTGCTGCTGCTGGGGGCTCATCCTCCTGTGGGCGGCGGCCCGAGCAGGTGAGAGCGGCCCCCTGGCGATAGACAGACACCGCCGCTGCCCCGGGGGACGGACAGATTGACCCCCCTCCGGCAGGGGATGGAGGGAGACAGTACACAGCCCCTTCAGCGGGATGGAGAGAGAGACAGACACGGGGGCCGTCTGGGGGCCAGACAGATACTGCAGCCCCCACAACCTGTCGGAGTCTGTGCCAGGCACCCAGGGTGGCTTCCCAGCGCAGTGACAGACAGACAGACCCCCGCAGGGCTCCCCCTCCACACCCTGAGCGCAGCGCGGCGCGGCCTCGCCGGGCAAAGGGCTGATCAGTTCCATGGCTCTGCCTGCCTGCCTGAGCTCGTCCCTCTGGGTCTTCTCAGCGAGTCACGTTGTATCAGAAAGGCAGCTGGAGCTGGTTTTGTCTGCCACTGACGCCCATAGCTACAAACCCTTCTTGCTGCTTGTGGAGTTACTCTTCTTAATCTTCTTATTTTCTATAATAAACCCCTCAAAGTGGAAGCAGGTGCAAATTCAGTGATTGTGTTGTGCATCTCCAGGTCCATTCCCTAGTGAGCCGATAACTGTGCCCCTTGCTGCCCAGAAGGATCAGTGTAGCTGAACTGGCATGAAGTCGAGGGTCTAGCCATGATAGGGATGTTTGAGGCAGCCAGGACACATTATAAAGGGATTTAAAACAAACGTCCCCTCGGTCAAGTCCTTCAGTTCTGATAGGAATTAATGATAGCCGACTGGTAGGCAAGAATAGATGCAGCACTACTTCCAGAGCAGATCATGCCCTGCAGGCCAGAGGGCAGTCAGTACAAAAAAGTTTATTTAGGTGCCCATATTTCCTTGTGTATAGCTAACATACCCAGTGGAGAATAGTGGCTGTAGGCACGAAATATTATAGTAAAGAATATGATACATTACAGTGGTCCCCAACCTTTCTGTGGGAATAGCATATTCCTATTCCCAGAAGACTGTGGTGGGTGCCAGACACTCCGGCGCTGAAATGCCACCGAGAAATGGCAATGCTTCTCGGCGGCATTTCGGCAGCGTGGTGTCCTGCGGGTGCACACAACTACCCCGGCGGGTGCCATTGCACCCGTGGGCACCGCAGTGGGGACCCCGTGATACAATGTTACAATCTGTAACTTTAATGTTCTGATTTGTGGGTGTATAATAAATATTGTCCTTTTAGCCCCAGAAGTGCTACATAAATTAAAGATCTGGTGTTTTGTGTCTGTATATTAACTTGTTGCTTTTACTGTGGTCAGTGGGAAAATATCAGGTTATTTTAAAAAAGTTTCTTGTCTATATTACAAAGACGAGAAGCGATCCTGCACAGAGCTGCTTTTCATTTTATATCTGCATAAGATATTTGTAGCCAAAGTTGTAAGGTTAAAATTAGGTTAATTTAATAACTAAAACTGATGTGAGCTGTAGCTCACGAAAGCTTATGCTCAGATAAATTAGTTAGTCTCTAAGGTGCCACATGTACTCCTTTTCTTTTTGTAAAACTGCTGTAGCACTTTCAAACTCCTTCATGGATTGCTTTGATTTTTCTGCATCCTGTTTATTCTGTCTATTGTCCCACTCCCTGGTGACTTCAAAGCCAAGGGTTGGATTTAATTGAGATGTACATTTTTGGTAGCCCTGCAATTTTCTGTAGAACTGGAGCTTCTATTTTAAAAATTAATTTCCCACCTATTTCATTTGAGAAACCTTGCAGATATGAATGAATGCCATGGGTCTAATTGTATGCAGCTAGAAAAAAATAGCCCCTGAGAAGTGTGAACAGTCCTATTAACCTCAGTGGAAATACGAAACGTCGTGATGAGAACAGAAAAGATTATTCAGAAACTGGAAGGAAGGAGGAAAGAGAAACTAAAAGGAAAAGTCTGGTCACTCAGTAACAGACTTAAAAGTGGCAATTTTGCAACAAAGAAGCTTCAAGAACAGAGAAACTGCCGAACTAGAATTAATTTGCAAACTCGATACCATTAATTTGGGCTTGAATAGAGATTGGGAGTGGCTGGGTCATTACACAAATTGAATCTATTTCCCCATGTTAAGTATTCTCACACCTTCTTGTCAGCTGTCTGAAATGGGCCATCTTGATTATCACTACAAAAGTTTTTTTTCTCCTGCTGATAATAGCTCATCTTAATTAGCCTCTTAGAGTTGGTATGGCAACTTCCACCTTTTCATGTTCTCTGTATGTATATATATCTTCTTACTATATGTTCCATTCTATGCATCTGAAGTGGGCTCTTGCCCATGAAAGCTTATGCTCAAATAAATTTGTTAGTCTTTAAGGTGGCACAAGTACTCCTGTTCTTTTTGAGGAGAGGAGCAGGAAGTTAAGGCAATAGCCCATGGTATAGAAAATACTATCCAGAGTTCAAATTTGCAAGAAGTAGTCTGACATCTCCCCCAGCACAGGAACAATAGAAATATATCAGAGTAGGAGGCAGGAACTAAATTAATTTCTTTCTTACCACAGGTTTCAGAGTAACAGCCATGTTAGTCTGTATTCACAAAAAGAAAAGGAGTACTTGTGGCACCCTAGAGACTAGCCAATTTATTTGAGCATAAGCTTTCGTGAGCTACAGCTCACTTCATCGGATGCATACTGTGGAAAATACAGAAGATGTTTTTATACACACAGACCATGAAAAAATGGGTGTTTATCACTACAAAAGGTTTTCTCTCCCCCCACCCTACTCTCCTGCTGCTAATAGCTTATCTAAAGTGATCACTCTCCTTACAATGTGTATGATAATCAAGGTGGGCCATTTCCAGCACAAATCCAGGGTTTAACAAGAACGTCTGAGGAAGGGGGGGATAAACAAGAGGAAATAGGTTATTTTATAATGACTCAACCATTCCCAGTCTCTATTCAAGCCTAAGTTAATTGTATCCAATTTGCAAATTAATTCCAATTCAGCAGTCTCTCGTTGGAGTCTGTTTTTGAAGTTTTTTTGTTGAAGGATAGTCACTTTGAGATCAGAAATCGAGTGACCAGAGAGATTGAAGTGTTCTCCGACTGGTTTTTGAATGTTATAATTCTTGACATCTGATTTGTGTCCATTTATTCTTTTACGTAGAGACTGTCCAGTTTGCCCAATGTACATGGCAGAGGGGCATTGCTGGCACATGATGGCATATATCACATTGGTGGATGTGTAGGTGAACGAGCCTTTGATAGGGTGCCTGACAGCAGGATTGTCTGGCTGTGTAGACTCCCTCCTCAGGCCCTACGCTACCAGCACTCCCAGCTACCTTCGAGACACAACTGACTTCCTCAGGAAACTACACTCCATCGGTGATCTTCCTGATGACACCATCCTGGCCACTATGGATGTAGAAGCCCTTTACATTAACATTCCACACAAAGATGGACTACAAGCCATCAAGAACACTATCCCCGATAATGTCACGGTTAACCTGGTGGCTGAACTTTGTGACTTTGTCCTTACCCATAACTATTTTACACTTGGGGACAATGTATACCTTCAAATCAGCGGCACTGCTATGGGTACCCGCATGGCCCCACAGTATGCCAACATTTTTATGGCTGACTTAGAACAACGCTTCCTCAGCTCTTGTCCCCTAACGCCCCTACTCTACTTGCGCTATATTGATGACATCTTCATCATCTGGATCCATGGAAAAGAAGCCCTTGAGAAAGTCCACCATGATTTCAACAATTTCCATCCCACCATCAACCTCAGCCTGGTCCAGTCCACACAAGAGATCCACTTCCTGGACACTACAGTGCTAATAAACAATGGTCACATAAACACCACCGACCGCTATTCCTACCTACATGCCTCCAGCTTTCACCCTGACCACACCGCACGATCCATCGTCTACAGCCAAGCTCTGCGATACAACCGCATTTGCTCCAACCTCTCAGACAGAGACAAACACCTACAAGATCTCTATCAAGCATTCTTACAACTACAATACCCACCTGCGGAAGTGAAGAAACAGATTGATAGAGCCAAAAGAGTTCCCAGAAGTCACCTACTACAGGACAGGCCTAACAAAAAAAATAACAGAACGCCACTAGCCGTCACCTTCAGCCCCCAACTTAAACCCCTCCAACGCATTATCAAGGATCTACAACCTATCCTGAAGGATGACCCAACACTCTCACAAATCTTGGGAGACAGGCCAGTCCTTGCTTACAGACAGCCCCCCAACCTGAAGCGAATACTCACCAGCAACCACATACCACACAACAGAACCACTAACCCAGGAACCTATCCTTGCAACAAAGCCCGTTGCCAACTGTGCCCACATATCTATTCAGGGGACACCATCACAGGGCCTAATAACATAAGCCACACTATCAAAAGCTCATTCACCTGCATATCCACCAATGTGATATATGCCATCATGTGCCAGCAATGCCCCTCTGCCATGTACATTGGGCAAACTGGACAGTCTCTACGTAAAAGAATAAATGGACACAAATCAGATGTCAAGAATTATAACATTCAAAAACCAGTCAGAGAACACTTCAATCTCTCTGGTCACTCGATTTCTGATCTCAAAGTGACTATCCTTCAACAAAAAAACTTCAAAAACAGACTCCAACGAGAGACTGCTGAATTGGAATTAATTTGCAAATTGGATACAATTAACTTAGGCTTGAATAGAGACTGGGAATGGTTGAGTCATCATAAAAAGTAACCTATTTTCCCTTGTTTATTCCTCTCCCCTCCCCCCCCCCCCACTGTTCCTCAGACGTTCTTGTTAAACCCTGGATTTGTGCTGGAAATGGCCCACCTTGATTATCATACACATTGTAAGGAGAGTGATCACTTTAGATAAGCTATTAGCAGCAGGAGAGTAGGGTGGGGGGAGAGAAAACCTTTTGTAGTGATAAACACCCATTTTTTCATGGTTTGTGTGTATAAAAACATCTTCTGTATTTTCCACAGTATGCATCCGATGAAGTGAGCTGTAGCTCACGAAAGCTTATGCTCAAATAAATTGGTTAGTCTCTAAG